AGATCCGCCTGGCTCTGCCTCCCGAGTGCTGGGATTAAAGGCGTGCGCCACCACCGCCTGGCGATTTTGGATTTATATGGAAGTAGAGAAGCAAACTTTTCAATAAAATGAAACCCAGAGGTGTATGCTGGGAAACTACCTGTAGTGTCATCTACTCCAAATTAGACAGATTATTCATTTATTTGTTTATGTATGTATGTATGTATGTATGTATGTATGTATATATGTATGGCAATGTGCATGTGTGGCTATCAGAAGACAATTTGTGCTAGTCAGTACGCTTCCAACATGTTGGTCCCAGAGATTGAACTGAGATTATTATGCTTGGCAGCAAGCTTCTTTACCAATGAGCCATCTTACCAGCTTATGAGACCCGACTTTAGGCTGTATAGACACATACATGATTATTTGTACTCATATCTAAGAGATACTGTGTTGTTGTAAACAGTTTTACTTAGGATTTTAATCCATTGGAATAAGTAAATATGTAGATCTATCAAGAAGCCGCCAACAAAACAAAAATGACAGATTTTAGAAGTGGTCACATCCTTATTTTTCAGGGAGATCGAGCAATAGAACACCAGTCTCCTCCTGTAAAGTATCGTCTCCCATTACTCATTAAAGGAACACACAGATGGACCCAGAAAGCTAATTTTTACTAAATGTGTTACACAGCCCTAAAATGAAAGATAAAGTCTTGATGGCCCAACACAGTGGACAGGAAGAAGCCATGTGAGGGTAAGAGATGACACCTGTTCCCTGTTTTCAAAGAATGCAGTCTGATTAAAGCAATGATAGCCAGCTTCACTGAATTAAAATGCATGGACAATTTAAAAGAGTTCAGCCATCACTTAGTGAACTCCTGTGCCCCATCCTCCCCATTCTGCTATAGATGATAGTGTCTCCCATGTATACATAGGCACGTGCAAAGCTGTATCATCACTTAACCATCAAGTAACAGAAGTTCAGGGATACTATCAGATTCTCGCCAGTCCTGGATGTAGTGTTAAAAGCTTTTTATAGCTCCGAGGAGAGACTGACCCACGCATACTCAATCTTGGAGTTTCAGAAGAGGGTCTCTTCTCTGGTATCATGGGGGAGGGGTGCATCTGGTGCCTCTAGGGGGACAGGAAATAGAGGTTTGACTTGAAAGTTAATAAAACTTTCAAATCAAATTTCAGCTTACTGGTAAAGTCTCCAAGAGGGAACACTTCTTAGCCAAAAGCCTGGAGCAGACACAGTATGAAGCAAGACATGAAAACAGGATTTGTCCCCAAATCATTCAATTGACCCTGTGACTATCAGGCTCTTCTTCACTACCTGCCAAAGAGCTGGTGTGATTCTATACTGATACTGGGGAATCCCACCTCCATATATGTTATGTTTCTGTCCATATATGTTAGATAAAGATGAGGCAGACATGAAGAGAGGGACAGGCCAGCTGAGCTGACGAAGCAACACTTTATAACTCGAGGTTAGCCTAGCTTCAGTGTTGTTTAATTCAGTAAGAGATAAGGGCTAAGGTCATTTACAGAATTTGAGTTACTATGGCTTTGAGAGTTATTGTCATTTTTGTTTAGAGAATAGATATGTACAAGATTAAGGTGTATAGCATAAACTGATGAGTGAATGCCTCGTTAGAGACCCCTATATCTATACAGGAAATGACTGCAGTGTGACGGCAGAAGTTGCATCATTGGATTTTAATTAAATTTAGTTTATTGATGTTCCACATACCATACAACTTACTGTCACAGTTAGTTGAAGTGTTCTGATTTTTATGCAACAAAAAATATCCATTGCATGGCATCTAAGCATTTTCATTTTTTTAAACTTTCCCGGGAAAGAAAATCCTCCAATACACACACACACACACACACACACACACACACACACACACACACACACACAAGAAAAAAAAACTTTCACATGGTGGAAATAGGTGGTCATTTTGCTTCAGTGATGGACAGGGCCATCCATTATCCTCTGGCTTCAGCTTTTCAGAAATTAGTGGTTAGGATTATTGTGGCTGCTTTGACAGCTGGAGATGGTTGGTGACAACCATCCACTTGAGAAAATTTAGATTCTATCATCACCTGAGGAGATGGGCTTGTGAATGCCTGCAGGGGATTATATTGATTATATTAATTGACATAGGAAGACTGGTCATAATTGTGGATAAGTCCATCCCCTGGGTAGGCATCATGGGCCATGAAGAGAGCCAGCAGACGAGCAGCATACTTTCATTACACCCTGCTTTCCGATTATGGATGCCATGTGACCAGCTGCTTGAAGCTCTTGAAGCCTTGACTTCCCTGCCACAAAGACTGTACCTCGAATTGTGAGTGAAAACAGATCTTTTCTCCCTTAGGTTATCTGGAAATAGTATCAGCAAAAGAAATTAAGAAAATGGCCACGTATCTACAGTGGTGTCTAAGATGCCCACCCTTACCTTGGGATCGGACTTCTTGGTGTGTACTTGGTATTTGAAGGTCTGCTCGATGTCGTGAGGAGTTGCAGGAGATGGTCTTCCTTTGTCGTCACAAACATTGCTTCATCTGTCATTTATCTTTACTCCTTTTTTCAAATCCATTCACCATTTTTTCTCTGTATTTCAAGTCACTTTGATGACATTCTCCGTATACCATTCTTTTGTCTACTTCAAACATTTCATTGACTTTCTTCTTGTTCCCTAATCATCTTTTTAGCCTTGTCTAAATCTAAGACATTAAATTTTCAACCAGCTTTTTAAAATGGCATAACATCTGTTTTTCTTTTTGATAGATAGGCAAGTCTTACTGATATTCTTTATAGTATCTTCCATTACTTTCAACATGTAATCAGTGTTATTTCATTATGATTTTGGAGTATAACCTTTATGAAAAGTAATGGACTTTCTTGACTCAATTACTTTAACTTCTGATCATATGATTTTTCTTCCTAGTGCATTTTTTCCTAGTTTTAATCATTTTCTTCTGCTTTTATTTACTATGGCATGTTTTGAATAATAACCCATAAGTATCATTGGAGATGCATTCCTATTATGGTTAGTTCTTCAAAGAGAATTGTCTGTGCTTGGGGTGGGTTGTTAGGCTGGGTTGGTTACTACCAAACTCCTTTTTATCTGAGCTGGACACCAGTCCCTTCCAGGTGTGATCACACTAGGTGAAGGCCATCCTGGGTGTAGCCTTTCAGGA